AAATCTTAACCTTTTCAAGTCTAGAATTAACCATTATCTTCAACACAATGTGCATAAGCTGTGTCTCTTATTCTGTAACAGCTCTACATGGAAAGTACCTCGGCCCTCACCACTGTAAAGAGAAGATGATATTTTAAAGCAATAAACTAAAATAGATCTTTCGCAGCAACGCTATTATCAGCTGATAGTGCATTTGAAAACGATCCCAATATTCGCTGATGTCTTATGGAGTTTAACCTTCTGCTAGAAAGGATTTAGTATTGCAGATATCTGTCTCTTCATGCTCGAAGTGCAAAAAAAAAAGAAGATATCCTTATATCCGTCCTGCATTTGTAGTTGCCGAACAGAAAGCAAGAAATCTGAACATTTGAGAAGGAAACAATCTAAAACGATATAAAAAAAATAAAAATAAAAAATCACAAATAAAATCAGTCGTAGGCGTAAAAAAAAAAATGTTCAAGCCAAAAGTATGAATCACGTGTTACTACGAGATTTTTTGTTCGTGACCACGCCCTACGAATGATGTGTAGTTGACCTAGGCGAACACGTGTGTAATGAAAAAAAAAAAGACATGGCGTCTGGCATCAGTTTTGTACAATTAATTGTTGCTGAAATAGCTGAGGTGAGAGTTATGTGTGAGGGGGTGTTGGGTGACTGCTATCAAAGCATGAGAATCAGCTGACGATTTGGCGAAACAGTAATAAGTCAATTCTTCTTCTTCTTCTTCTTCTTCTTCTTCTTCTTCTTCTTCTTCTTCTTCTTCTTCTTTGTGCCTTGTCCCTACAGGATGGGCGATCATGGCTCTCCAAAACTTTCTGTCTTTTATCACCATTAGTAAACCCTGTTCTGCCTTGCATTTGCAAAAGGTTATGCGCTGTATTCCTCTGTCCCTGTTGCCTTCAGTATGTCCAGTGAGTGTCACATTTACCAAGCCCTCTTTTCTCATTAAGTACCTAAATATTTCAACTGGTTATTTCTGATACTAAGTCTTGTGAAGTGGGGACTGGCAAGACACAACACTTAACTCGACAGAGTCAGTCGTGATAGCAGTATTCAATACTCAGCTAAACTGCAATAGTAACATCATCATCTTGACAATTACCCAGGACTACTTATCATGAATCAGTTTGCTTTTTTTATCTTAACCGGCTGGGCATGTTCCACAGGGCTTGACGTTCTGTCCATATCTGTTCATGAGCGGGAGCAGTGGAAGAATATCTTGGCCAAGTGACTAGATTTTTTAAAATATGACAGGTGTTGTAACTGTGTTATCAAAAACAACAGTAGAAAACCGAAAATTGGTTTAACAAGTTTATTACTAATTGCTACAATGGAAACATAATGTAGAATAGAAACTAGGAAAAGAATGTTTAGTCGTGAATAACAAACAGTTTTCAGCTACTGATGCTAATTCTGCTACTGCTCCTCCTCTTGATGTAGGATTATTTTAATGTCCTTCGTCCGACGGCCGAATTCAAACTTGTAGGGAAATATTTTCCCTAACAACACCTCTACTTTTGAGATTTCACTTCATCTAGAGGCCATACCTCTTTCTTTTGGGATGCATGTCCGGATTTTCTATTGCACTTCTTTTCCTTTTAGTAGTTCTTTTAGTAATAACTGTTTCTGGCATAGGTACGTCAAATACATCGTATAATACCCGCATTAGTTCTTCCAATATTGTATTTTTACTGACAAAGTACCTTTTCTTCAATTGGTTTAGGTGGCGTTTATGTACCCACCTCGGACCTTTAATCATATATAATAATCTGCCAACATGTTTTTATATTACACCTTCCCAGGGTTCCTTATCCTTTTTATAAATTTTAAAGAATATTATTTCGCCTGAGTTAAAATATTTAACAGTATCGGTTTTGTGTCCATTTTCTGTCTCAGGCAACAGTCTATCAAATACAGATTTTACTTTTCTTGCAAGCATCAAATCTGCTGGAGACATACCTGACACTGTGTTAGGATTAGATGTGTGTTGTGGTGTTCTCCCTCTAAGAGTCTATGTTAGACTCTTCCGCCTACTATAAGTTTAGTAGGAGAGAAGGTTCGGGGAGCAGTGAACCGTGAATAGATTGAGCGCTAGTTCATTCGATACACTCTCACTAATCATGTATTACTCTTCTGATGTACTTACTGTTTAATATACGATATATCTGCAAACCTGGTTTTTGTTATTACTTAACCATTTACTTGGTCACAAGAGTGTGATACGATAGACTTGTAGGAATTTTTGAATTCCTATTTCTTCAGAGTGTCAATCGTCATGTTTCTTTAGAGCTCACTTCAGCGTATCAACAAATGTCTCTACTAATCCACTGGTGTTCTCCTCGCGTGAGTTCGAATCTTATTTTCCTTGCCAAACTGTTGTACCGTAGTTATCAGAAACAACAGCAGAAAAACAGAATTGGTTTAACAATAAGTTTATAACCTTTTGGTACAAGGAAACATAATGTAGAATAGAAACTAGAAAAGTGAATAGTTAGACGTGAATGACTGTTTTCAGCGAAAGATACTGCTGCTACTCCTCTTGATGTAGGTGTATTTTTATGTCTTTCGTTCGACGGCCGAGTCCAAACTTGGAGGGAAATATTCTCCCTCACTACATTTGATTTTGGAATCACATCTAGATTATTGAGACCACCCTCAATTGAAGGGTCGGGTAACCTAGTCCGCTAAGATTGGGTTATCCGAGCTGAAGCTAATCCAAACTGGGCCCCACCTGCAAGGTTATGTGCAGCTTTCATGAAAAACTTTCACCGTATCAGACACATTTAGGCTTGTCAGAGGCCCATTCTGATATTGTAAGGGGTGCCGATGTTGGGTGCTGTGGGGGAGAATCCACCATATTGGAGGCGTTCCCTCACCAGCACACACGCCAGTAAAAAAGTTCAAAAAGTGGACAAAAACCGACAAACCGTGACAAAGAAAGACAACCAGGGATAATATACGGACAAAAACGTGACTCTTCCGATTGACTGTTTATTTCAAAAAAGAAAAGAAAAAACAACGCTTTGTTAGGGATTCACTTACTGGAGGAATGACTGCAGTATATTTCCCCTCGCCCTTTATAGGTAGAAGTACACAAATGCATGCTGGGATATTTTTCTTAGCCAATAAAATACGCCCGTTTGCATTTTGAAATGACGCAATCCAGATCTGCGTTGTCTAGAAGACAGACCACTACGCTTGTCCGATCTTCCTTTTATGTGTCAATACCATTTCTCAATTTGTGAACTTTTTGCCTTCTTTTAGTTAATTTGCCTTGCATATATTCTTTGCTTACTTGCTTGATATTATTTCATATCTCCCCTGTTCCTTTTTTCTTTTTATTACAAACTTTGTTAATTCTGTTTGTGGGGTAGTTCTGTTATTTATTTTGCATTTGTCTATGGCAATAATAACGCCACAAATAATAGTAATAATTGTAACATAATAACAACACCAAATTGAACCTTATGAAGCTTTATTAGACTAAGCCAGCTATAGTGTTGAAAAACGTTATATTTATTGTAATGGATGGTTACAAGCGAGAGGGGAGATGTGGTGTGCATATTTTATTACCACAGAAATAATAACATCAACAACGATAATAATGACAACAATAAAAACAACAATAATAAAATAACAAAAACAATAAAAATAATAACAATGATATTAACATTAAAAACAACAACAATAATAATAATAACAAGAAAGATAATAAAAATAACAACGATCATAATAACAAAAGAATAATACTTAATAATAACACAAACTAATAATAGCAATGATAATAATAACAATAATAACAATATTAATAATAACAACAACAATAATAATAACAATAGCAAAATAAACAATAACAATAATAATAACAGCATCAACAATAATGATAAAACAAAATTAATAAAAACAAGAACAATAATGATAACAAAACAATAACAATATTGATAATGGCACTACCAATAATAATAATAATAATAACAAAAACATTAGTAAAGAAAATTAATAATAATAATAATAATAACAAAATCAACAATAATAATAAAAAATAAAATAAAAACAAAAACAAGACAATAATAATAAAAATAATAATAGCAAAATAACAAAAACAATAATAATAGTAACATCAACAATAATGATTAAACAACATCTTACTTATTATAAAACGCAGATTGTGTGTGTGTGTGTGTCTGTACATTTATATATTGGATCGGATTTCCTACATTTTTCAACCGATTTCAACAAAACTCCACAGGACTAAGTAAAATTACCTTGCGGTGGTTCTGACAGCACCCATAATTGGAAAAACATAATTGTTTTTGCACGAAATCAATTTGAAAACACGATTCTGTCGCCAGAATGAAAGGGGGACAACTCATATCGAGTTATACTTATTATAAAAACCCAGGTGTGTGTTGTGTGTGTGTGTGTTCGTTTATATATGGGATCGGATTTCTACATTTTACAACCGATTTCAACAAAACTTCACTTTTTTGGTAGGTATGTTTCTTATTGTCTTGCACACTTTTTTCTTTATTTTTACATTCAGAATGCTTTAAAAATTCTATTTATAAGACAATTGTTTATAATAAAATTCTATTCAATCGGTAGACTCATAACGATTGAAAACAATGTTTTTGTTTCAGTTTGGGTTTGACCAATTCGTAAAAAAAAAAAAAATTAAGACATACGTGTCCGTCAACCTTAAACAATAATCTTTGTCAATTTTATTTTTCAGTCTTTATGATGGTCGATAGTTGATCTATCTCTTACTGTTACATCCCCGGGCAACGCCGGGCTCTACTGCTAGTCAATAATAAAAAAACAAGAACAATAATGTTAACAACAAAACAATAACAATATGAATAATAACAAAAAAGAATAATAATAGCATTAATAACAATAACAACAATACTAACAATAATCAGAAAACAAAAACAAAATAATAATAACAAGATATGGTTCTAATATTATTTCATCTGATGTTTATTTTTTATTGTTTACAGCTATGGAGATTTAAATCCTTTAAATTTTTTGGACAAAACTTCACGGGATCAAACTTGGATCTACACCGCCAAATATCGCAATGAAGAAGACTATGAAATTTACTTCAAAAGAATCGCCGGTATTCCGAAAAAGGTAACTTCATTTATGATATTAGGCATATCTATGACAAAGTGGGAAAACGCGTTTCGTCTTCAGATGTTTACTTTGATGCATTTACACATAGGTATGAAGGAGAGGGGACGATGAAAACAGGCCAAGGAAGTGTTATTACAAAAATACCGGGTGTAACAGCAAAATTGTCCAATTGTTAGATTGTAAGATTGTATCTTAGAAATGATTAAAGATATCTTACTGGAATTCTCCGAGGTTTTTATAACACTGTTGGACTCTACCTTGAGCAGTAAGCTCTTGTTTTAAGGTCTCCAAGATTAACAGAAGAATCATGATGAAATCGATCATAAACGAAAATGACATGTTCATCATTAATTAATCATAGCTAAGGATGGGAATCTCATGAAGGATTGAAATAATGTTCATATATATATATATATATATATATATATATATATATATATATATATATATTATTTCAGCATCATTTTCGAACTTATTCAAAATGATCTTCGCCTTCTCTAACCTCTCTAACTTTCTGTCCTTCAAGAACAAGTTGCCTCACACGTTTCACGTACGATTTCATATTCAGGTCTATTTACACTGCTCTTTGGACTGTCATAACTGAAACTCCTCTCTCACGGGCCAAACCTCTTATGGATTGAGTTGGAACTTTTCTAATTGATCTCTTTAGCTTTAAGTTGAAATGAGGATCCCTCTTCCTATTGTGACCTCCTGATCCCGTTTTCATCTCAACTGTTCACTTTTTTTAAACTTGATCGTTCTTGAATGAACTTTGAAGATGGAAGCCAGGGTATTTCCACTAGTAGTATTAGTAGTAGTAATATTATCTGCAATTTTCATTAGATCAAGCATTGTCAAGCATTCTTCATTTTTCACTAGGATTTCTTTCATCTTCATTTCAATTGCTTTATTTCCACTAGTAGTATTAGTAGTAGTAATATTATCTGGAATTTTCATTAGATCAAGCATTGTCAAGCATTCTTCATTTTTCACTAGGATTTCTTTCATCTTCATTTCAATTGCTTTATTTCCACTTGTAGTATTAGTAGTAGTAATATTATCTACAATTTTCATTAGATCAAGCATTGTCAAGAATTCTTCATTTTTCACTAGGATTTCTTTCATCTTCATTTCAATTGCTTTATTTCCGCTTATAGTATTAGTAGTAGTAATATTATCTACAATTTTCATTAGATCAAGCATTGTCAAGAATTCTTCATTTTTACTAGGATTTCTTTCATCTTCATTTCAATTGCTTTATTTCCACTAGTAGTATTAGTAGTAGTAATATTATCTGCAATTTTCATTAGAGTATTGTCAAGCATTCTTCATTTTCACTATTTCTTTATTTTCATTTCAATTGCTTTTTTCATTAGTAATATTATCTCAATTTTCATTAGATAAACCATTGTCAAGAATTCTTCATTTTTTACTAGGATTTCTTTCATCTTCATTTCAATTGCTTTATTTCCACTAGTAGTATTAGTAGTAGTAATATTATCTGCAATTTTCATTAGATCAAGCATTGTCATTCTTCATTTTCACTAGGATTTTTTCATTTTCATTTCAAACTTTATTTCCACTTGTAGTATTAGTAGTAGTAATATTATCTGCAATTTTCATTAGATAAACCATTGTCAAGCATTCTTCATTTTTTCACAGGATTTTTTCATTTCAATTGCTTTATTTCCACTAGTAGTATTAGTAGTAGTAATATTATCTGCAATTTTCATTAGATAAAGCATTGTCAAGAATTCTTCATTTTCACTAGGATTTCTTTCATCTTCATTTCAATTGCTTTATTTCCACTAGTAGTATTAGTAGTAGTAATATTATCTGCAATTTTCATTAGATCAAGCATTGTCAAGCATTCTTCATTTTTTCACTAGATTTCTTTCATCTTCATTTCAATTGCTTTATTTCCACTAGTAGTATTAGTAGTAGTAATATTATCTGCAATTTTCATTAGATCAAGCATTGTCAAGCATTCTTCATTTTTCACTAGGATTTCTTTCATCTTCATTTCAATTGCTTTATTTCCACTTGTAGTATTAGTAGTAGTAATATTATCTACAATTTTCATTAGATCAAGCATTGTCAAGAATTCTTCATTTTTTACTAGGATTTCTTTCATCTTCATTTCAATTGCTTTATTTCCACTAGTAGTATTAGTAGTAGTAATATTATCTGCAATTTTCATTAGATCAAGCATTGTCAAGCATTCTTCATTTTTCACTAAGATTTCTTTCATTTTTTTCAATTGCTTTATTTCCACTTGTAGTATTAGTAGTAGTAATATTATCTGCAATTTTCATTAGATAAACCATTGTCAAAATTCTTCATTTTTTACTAGGATTTCTTTCATTCATTTCAATTGCTTTATTTCCACTAGTAGTATTAGTAGTAGTAATATTATCTGCAATTTTCATTAGATCAAGCATTGTCAAGCATTCTTCATTTTTCACTAGGATTTCTTTTCATTTTCATTTCAATTTGCTTTATTTCCACTTGTAGTATTAGTAGTAGTAATATTATCTACAATTTTCATTAGATCAAGCATTGTCAAGAATTCTTCATTTTTACTAGGATTTCTTTCATCTTCATTTCAATTGCTTTATTTCCACTAGTAGTATTAGTAGTAGTAATATTATCTGCAATTTTCATTAGATCAAGCATTGTCAAGCATTCTTCATTTTTCACTAGGATTTCTTTCATTTTCATTTCAATTGCTTTATTTCCACTTGTAGTATTAGTAGTAGTAATATTATCTACAATTTTCATTAGATAAACCATTGTCAAGAATTCTTCATTTTTTACTAGGATTTCTTTCATCTTCATTTCAATTGCTTTATTTCCACTAGTAGTATTAGTAGTAGTAATATTATCTGCAATTTTCATTAGATCAAGCATTGTCAAGCATTCTTCATTTTTCACTAGGATTTCTTTCATTTTCATTTCAATTGCTTTATTTCCACTTGTAGTATTAGTAGTAGTAATATTATCTGCAATTTTCATTAGATAAACCAAAGCATTCTTCAAGGATTCTTTCATCTTCATTTCTTCATTTTCACTAGTAGTATTAGGTAATATTATTTCTTTCATCTTCATTTCAATTGCTTTTATTTCCACTAGTAGTATTAGTAGTAGTAATATTATCTGCAATTTTCATTAGATCAAGCATTGTCAAGAATTTTCATTTTTTAGATTTCTTTTTCATCTTCATTTCAAATTTCCACATTAGTAGTAATATTATCTGCAATTTTCATTTCATTGTCAAGCATTCTTCATTTTTTTCACTAGGATTTCTTTCATCTTCATTTCAATTGCTTTATTTCCACTAGTAGTATTAGTAGTAGTAATATTATCTGCAATTTTCATTAGATCAAGCATTGTCAAGCATTCTTCATTTTTCACTAGGATTTCTTTCATCTTCATTTCAATTTGCTTTATTTCCACTAGTAGTATTAGTAGTAGAAATATTATCTGCAATTTTCATTAGATCAAGCATTGTCAAGCAATCTTCATTTTTCACTAGATTTCTTTCATCTTCATTTCAATTGCTTTATTTCCACTTAGTATTAGTAGTATAATATTATCTGCAATTTTCATTAGATCAAGCATTGTCAAGAATTCTTCATTTTCACTAGGATTTCTTTCATCTTCATTTCAATTGCTTTTATTTCCACTAGTAGTATTAGTAGTAGTAATATTATCTGCAATTTTCATTAGATAAACCATTGTCAAGCATTCTTCATTTTTCACTAGGATTTCTTTCATCTTCATTTCAATTGCTTTATTTCCACTAGTAGTATTAGTAGTAGTAATATTATCTGCAATTTTCATTAGATCAAGCATTGTCAAGCATTCTTCATTTTTCACTAGGATTTCTTTCATCTTCATTTCAATTCTTTATTTCACTAGTAGTATTAGTAGTAGAAATATTATCTGCAATTTTCATTAGATCACATTGTCAAGCATTCTTCATTTTTCACTAGGATTTCTTTCATCTTCATTTCTTTATTTCCACTAGTAGTATTAGTAGTAGAAATATTATCTGCAATTTTCATTAGATCAAGCATTGTCAAGAATTCTTCATTTTTCACTAGGATTTCTTTCATCTTCATTTCAATTGCTTTATTTCCACTAGTAGTATTAGTAGTAGTAATATTATCTGCAAATTTTCATTAGATCAAACATTGTCAAGAATTCTTCATTTTTCACTAGGATTTCTTTCATCTTCATTTCAATTGCTTTATTTCCACTAGTAGTATTAGTAGTAGTAATATTATCTGCAATTTTCATTAGATCAAGCATTGTCAAGAATTCTTCATTTTTCACTAGGATTTCTTTCATCTTCATTTCAATTGCTTTATTTCCACTAGTAGTATTAGTAGTAGTAATATTATCTGCAATTTTCATTAGATCAAGCATTGTCAAGAATTCTTCATTTTTCACTAGGTTTCTTTCATCTTCATTTCAATTGTTTTATTTCCACTAGTAGTATTAGTAGTAGTAATATTATCTGCAATTTTCATTAGATCAAGCATTGTCAAGAATTCTTCATTTTTCACTAGGTTTCTTTCATCTTCATTTCAATTGCTTTATTTCCACTAGTAGTATTAGTAGTAGTAATATTATCTACAATTTTCATTAGATCAAGCATTGTCAAGCATTCTTCATTTTCACTAGGATTTCTTTCATCTTCATTTCAATTGTTTTTATTTCCACTAGTAGTATTAGTAGTAGTAATATTATCTGCAATTTTCATTAGATCAAGCATTGTCAAGCATTCTTCAATTGCTTTTTTCACTAGGATTTCTTTCATCTTCATTTCAATTGTTTTTTTCCACTAGTAGTATTAGTAGTAGTAATATTAATCTTCGTTTTCATTTCTTTTCTTCATTTCAATTGTTTTTATTTCACTAGTAGTATTAGTAGTAGTAATATTATCTGCAATTTTCATTAGATCAAGCATTTCAACCATTCTTCATTTTCAC